CTAAGTTAGCGCTTCGTGAGCGCTCCAAGGAGCGCTCATGTGGCGCTTCCAGCGCGTGATTTCGTTCTAATATTGCGCGTGGTTAGCGCTTTAGTAGCGCCTTGTTAGCGCTCCAGTAGCGCCGTGTGAGCGCGTCATTAGCGCTTCTTGTACCGCGGTGCTGAGGATTAGCAGGTGCACTGCGGTTTCGGTTCCTGTGGTTGGGTGTGCATCAGGAGCACCATGGCGGACATGTGGGATGCTGAAATAGAAATGCGACAAATGCTTTTACATACGCTATTAGTGCATATCTGTGTGGACGGCTTAACTCTCAGAAGAGCCTTCTGGGTGCGCGAAATCATTCGCCACTGAGATACCGACGGGTACCCGGCGAACCTTGTTCCGAGGCTGAGGGAACGGGACACAGAGCTCTTTCAAAGGCGATCATTTGTACCTGCGTGTCCTTGAAAGCAGCGTCACACATATCAAATTGAAAGCGATGAGGTCGTACCCAATCAATTAGTCGCTCAGAGTCCATGACTCTGGGTCGCCTGCCCGGCCCTCTGCTTAGAGAGCAGCTCCCTTAATTCCTCTTCTTTCAATGCCAAAGGAAGAACAACAACCAAGGAATCGCCATGGACGCGCTGTTCCGCAGCAGCAAGCACGGCACAAGGAGCGTGAGAGCGCTAATAGAGCGCTAATAAAGCGCTTCTGAAGCGCTAACAGAGCGCTACATCATGCGCGAGGAAGCGCCACATGAGCGCTCCTTTGAGCGCTCACGTAGCGCTAACTTAGCGCTCCGCCGTACATGTGAACCGGCCTTAAGGTGACCACCCGCAAGCTTGTCAGGGGAGTATTAAAAACGCCCGCCTTGGTTTGGGCCGTGAACGTGAAAGGTAGTTCGGCCTTTCGACACAGATGATGAAACAGCGTATAGCTTGCCCTCGCAAGGTGACATATGCCACACCGCTTGCTCATTGCAAACTCTTGATTGGCCAGAAAATGATCGAGATACCAAGGAGGCTCTACAACAACATATCTAAGCAAAGCCAGCGTTGAAAACATGTGACTTTTCGGTTCGGCGTGGGGACTCACGGAGTGCGGGGTCACGCGTACGTCTTAAGACTTAACTGTGTGGGCTAACTTGAATTAACCGGATCCTGGGAAAATAGTGCCGTTGCCGTCCCCGCCTGCTTGACGGACACAAACATATAATAACATACATATGGCTAAGCCTTGGTGCACAAGGTGATTGACTGATCGGTGTCAGTTGCCATGGCACTCGCCATTTTGGATTATTAAAATCTTTGAAGCATGGGAAGACTATTTCTGAACCAGAAGAGTCAAGATTGCTATGGAGCACCGTCGTACTGAAAGCGTTCCTCGCCAATAAAGCGTTACTGCTGCTATGTACGCAATCAACTAATCAATCATGCCTATCACAGATATCTTACGATGGTATTGTTGTTCTTCCGTAGTTCAAGACAAGAACATTATTTTTCTTAATGGCGCCACGCACTGACGTCGCATGTGGTAATGGCGCGAAGATATGCGCTTGTTTCGCCGGTGTGTGGTTAAAAAAATCTATGCACTCAAGAAATGTGTTTATAAAGCAACCTGTAAACGAGAATATTGATGGGCTCCCAAAGACTGAAGAAGTAGAGGAGAAACTGCTCGTTCCATGAATAAAAATGACGACCATAAAGAAGGGTCGGTGCTACTTTACAGAATGCAGTGACTTCAGGACGGACTCGTGCCCGTTAATTAAAGAAAAGTAATGGATTACAATAACAAATTACCGATCCTCAAATGTAATGGATCACCATTAAAAGTAATTCTGGCTAAAAGTAATGGATTACTCTACTTGTTGCATAACAAATTACTTTCACGTTACTTTTGTCCTAGAGTTATAAAAATATTAGAAACAATATTGACATTTCGAAAATTTTCTGGAACACTACTTTCCATTTCCCATACGCCCGTGTTATCAAAGTCATTGTAAACAAAAAATAAACTCGTGTATTTAGGAAAGAAATTTTGGGTGCACTCCGTTCGCTTTTAAGCTGAGAAGACAGCGAAAGCTACAACCACAACCGCCATCCCGCGAGCTTTAAGAGACCGAAAATGATCCCTAGACTTCTGCAGAGAAAGCAAGCGGTGTGCACCTGAGTAGAAACGTTTACCTCAGCTAGAAGATGAAGAATACAGGGATATTTCAGATAAGATCGACCAAAGGGTGGCTGGTCGACATTTTTAAATCAACTGATGTTTTTATATGACATTGTCTAGTGTCTGGTATAAACGAATCCACACTTAGTTTTGACCAGAAAAAAAAATTTGGAGACAAGAAAAATCGTAAGGCAGGGAGAGGTGGACAGTTGCAATAACGCGCACTGATGGAGGGGGCAAGTTTGAAAGTGAATAATTAAAACAATAAAATTAGGAGAATTTAAAAATTTTTACAAACAAACTATGGGTACAACTTGCTTGTAATAGAAAGTAATAATATTTATTAAAATTTTTTTTAGTTTTCTAAAAATTGCCAAACATGCCTGCTCGAACGACAAATGGCAAACTTTGGAAATCTGTATCTCATGAAATAATTTAATCATTATTACATAACTTGCAGACATTATTTTACTAATATATGGCTATTATTGAAAAAATAAATAAGGTATCTGAGTGACACAATAGTTACAATATATTTAGGCAAACATGGGAAAAAAATCAAACAAAGAAAAATTCCAATGCTAATAAAAAAAAACACCGCCTTCGATTTTTTTAAAATTTGGGTACCCTGTTATGCTCTATTTCGGCATTCATTTCTATTAAAAACATGTTGCATCATTGCACTGTGAAAGAAGAAACAACTCCCCAAAGTAGGGTCCTTTTTCAAAGCCTACACTTAGCAGTGTCCTATACAAGAAGTGACTCTGAGTTCCAGTTTCATGAAACTTGCACAAATCTTTTATATACACTTATTCAGATGAGATCATTGATAAAAAGAGCGATCGGTCACACAGTAAAAGGGAGGAGAAACTATATACAGCATTTTACATAAGCGTACAAAGTGGTATCATATTAGAGACTAATGATTTGAGAAAAGATGATGCAGTGTGAAGTTGTACCTTCCGGTATATTTTACATGTAGAGTAAAATAAATAACTTTACTTCCACACACAAAAACAAAGATATAATAGTAAGATATTTAGGTTGGCTGTGTATTTACGATTACAAACAATTTCAGGTGACGGATGCCATAGTGCCTAACTGGAGCAGCTTCGATGCTCTCGGTGTATGAATGAATCGTGGCAAGCCGATATATTTTATCCTGCTCGAGGATAACATTTTGGGATTTTTTTTATAGTGATCAGATAAAAATTTTTAGTCACCACCAACAAAAACAGTAGGTTAAATACCCCGCGAAGAAAAATGTGATAAATAAGATGTCCCTGCATTCAAAATGAGCAGTCCTTGGGAAATCAAATTCGGCACTTTACGCTAAGGTTTTCCTCGCTGTACCCATTTAATAAAGTTGCTTCCAAGCAGATCCGACTGTCCGTGCTACATATACGTCACAGGTCCCTTCTGTTGATGACTTGCTGAGCCGCCACGCGTGCCAAGACTGAATGCCAGGGAAGGCGCGCACCGTCAGCCACTCTTCTTTTTTTTGTTCACGATACCGAACAACCTCATTTTCGTCCAGATATACAAGATGCACACCTTTCAGTTTCTTTGATAGAACGCTCACCATTGTCCTGGCCGTCTGAATTGCGCTTACTGAACGTTCTCTCAGGTTGTTCAGCGTGGCCTGGTGCTTCACGAGTCAGCCAACTCCGTCACATGCATTTTTCCCATGTCCAGATGCAGAAAATAACCACTGGGCTTGTGGGCAATCGTCCTTTGCAAATTGGTGAAGCTGGTAGCGATTCCTGAAATGACTGGCGGCGCCGTCACTTACGTACGTCACGTACGAGTATACCGCAACGTTGTCTTCAACCCACTCCTTCACTTTTTCTAGAGCCAAGCAAGCGTGAGCGGCGTCGTGACACAGGTCCTCACTGATGATGGCAAAGCTGTTTGTAGATTTTCTTGTCGTCACTACACATGTAAATATCGAAACTTGTTTTTTTTTTCTAGTGATATGCTTGCACTTCGTCAGGAAGCACGATGGTCCAGTTTTCAGCAAAGTCAAAATGAAAGACAATGCTCCCGCGTTGCATGCACTGTTTTTCATCGTAGATCGCTTTACCTTGCGTTTGCCGGATATGGTTGTGAAGTACCCAACTTCCAACCGTCGCTTGGATGACTTTTAGGAAAGTCTCAGGTTCCAAAGTTTTTTTCACAAGGTCGCCGGACTCCCATGTTGCAAGCACAATCTCTTCATCCTCCGGGATATCAAGTTCCTGGAGTGTAAGAAACTGGCCTTTTGGGCAGTGATCACAGTCTCCTTGAAGGCACAGTTCAGTTGCTGGGTCGCACAGAAATGCCGAGTTCATTTCACTAGTGTTGAATGTTGAGCCTGTAACGTTCTCTAGAGCGGCAATACAAAGATAATAATTGGCGCAGCGCACACAAACGCACACTTCCTGGGCCGGTTTTCTCGAAGCGATGGTAAACCCATTTTAGTAAACCACGGTACCTAGGAAGGAAAAAGTACCTAGGTACTATAATCAACGGCTGGATATAAAACCACAATAATTATTTTTGATTGGGCAGTAAGACGCGTCATCTATCGGTGAAACAAGCCAGTCATTTTGTTTATTCTCTTTTTCCGCTGGTTGTTATCGCTCTAGTATGGTATTTTAAGTCAAAATATAGTAATGTTGTACTTGAAGAACAATTTATTTGCTTCAGATGCTACGAAGAAATTTTAGCTACCATGCTAGAGTTTGTCGACGAATATTTGAAGACGTAAGAAACATTTCCTTCAATATGTTTCGCCATAAACAACGCATAACTTTCCCGAGTCCCTTCCAGTCTGGCAACGCCGCTGCTGTAGACTCGTTTTTGTTCCCTGCGACGCACGTTTCTACGATTCCTGCTGATCTCAACTGTTTGCCCTCTCTTCCGTTTGCCCAACCGATCCACCGATTAGCCCACCGACCGACTGCGGACTTACTAACAACTGATTTGCGGACCTATTTGTACTTTGATAACGGAAACGATGTCGAACGGGACGAGGCGTCGACGTCGACGAGACCGCGCGTACGCGCAGTACGCTGTCGTCATGCTGGGACGACAACGTGTGTTCCGGGACCGCCTCGATCCGCTGGAAGAATTCGACGAGGATGCGCTGCAGCAACGATTCCGGTTTGGTCGCGCGGGAATTATGTTTCTCGCGGAGACGCTGCGCCCGGACTTGGAGCGGTCGACGCGTCGCAGCTGCGCCTTGTCCGCAGAGCAGCAGGTGATCGTCGCTCTGCAATTCTACGCCACAGGCAACTTCCTCATCACTGCAGGCGACTACGTACACGTGCAAGTCTCTAGTGCTTCACGGTCCGTGAGGCAGGTCACCGTAGCTCTGGCACGTCGAGCAAGGGACTTCATACGGTAAGACTTCATACGGTAAAAAGTTCCTGAGCGTTCCGAGTCAAAAAAAAAAAAAGAAAGTCAGATTGTGTTGAGTTTGTTTATGAGTAAAGCTATACGCACTCCGTCGTGCACCTCGGCCGGAAAGGGCTATACGCAATACGCGAAACTGCCCTCCAGAGAAGAGGGAAAGAAGGAGCTACCCTCTTATCAGGGTCCTCCTTTGTGCCTCCCGGGTTTGCACAGGCGTTGCTATTCTCCTGCCAGATGATTAGAGAAGATTAACCTGTCACTCAACATTCTTACAAAGGCAGTTTCCCTCTCCTCCTTTTACTTGGTGTTCAAAAGTATGCGATGTGACGTCAGTGCAGGGAGCCTATAACACGAATGGTTACTACGTGTTTTATAAGCAATGGCATAGCATAGGGTTAAAAAAAAAAAAAAAGATGGCATAGCATAGGGGCATACACCGTGCATAGGGCGGTAAGGTGTCTGCTTCATACATAAGTGGACACGGGTTCGATCCGCGGTGTGGGCCCACTTTTTTTTTCTCGAACATTTTGTTTTGTCGAGGCATTTGGCGATATTTATGACATTTCTTTTTTACGATGAACACTGAAGCAGAAAAAAAAAAAAACGAATGTTGTCGGCTAAACTTTGCATAAATGTGCATGCTAGGGTATTGTGCTGTAAATTAACTTGTGAATGTATTGGCAATGCAGGTGGCCTGACGTCGCAGAGAGTGCTGCCTTGCAGGAGCAGTTCTTTGACGTAGCCGGGTTCCCTTGTGTCGTGGGTGCTGTTGATGGCACCCACATTCGAATCCAGGGACCGCGCGTGCACGAGGAGGTGTACGTGAACCGCCACCTGTACCATTCCATCAACGTACAGGTGGTAGTTGACGCGTCCTGCCGCATACGCAATGTGGTTGCGAGATGGCCGGGAAGCACGCACGACTCCCGGATTTTCACCGAGAGCACACTATCAGTCAAGCTGGCCGATGGCATCTACGATGGCCTATTGCTCGGCGACAGCGGCTACACCTGCCAGCCGTGGCTGATGACGCCATTCCTGTCGCCATCATCAGCAGCAGAAGTGAGGTACAACACGGCACACACCCCGACAAGGAGTATTGTTGAAAGGTAAGACAAAGTCACGCATCGTGGTGGGTTACTGGGCTGCTATATTGAAAAGAATGCCACTAGACAACGTAACATTTTGTTGTCACAGCACAGAAGACACTGTTAATTGTAACGCCCCTACATGCAGTTTTGTGTTCTCTAGACCCAGCAGAAAACAGTAATTGCACGGAACCTAAAGAGAGAAGAAAGAAAATACTATCCCAAGAATATATATTTATTTATTGTACTTTCCAGTGCCCCTATACAGCCCGAGGGCCTGCATAAGGGTGCAACGTAGACACATATATGCAGTGTTGCATAAAAAGCAGACACGCAAAACGCATGCATCGTATCAAAAAACAAAAACGTGAAATATTCTCCAACATATTTTTTGGAGAACATATCACATTGTTCGTTCGTTAGGGGCAGGATTTGTTACATGTGAAAGGCAATATTTTGGTTCAATCTGGATACAGAAGAGCAAAAAGATACAAATGCAAAGCCGTGTTTTTTTTTTTCCGGCCCCACCTTTACAGAAATTACACGCCTACTTGTCATACATTCTAAAATACTCCACACTGCTGGGACTCGCCGTAAAAATGTGACAAATTGCACCGGGCTCGGGTTGCTATAGGGAAGTCGTTGACAGACATCTTCGGACTGCTAATGTTAACGACTGTTTGTATGAAACTGTGTTTCGCTTACACTCAGCTATGAGGAACATTTGTCGAGGGAAGTTTAATATGGTCTACATGTAAACATACTGTTATATATCTTGGCAATGATAAGAAATGATTGCCGGGTTTTCGGTAGGCTACAGCATTCAGAAAGTATGAAATAGTCTCAGCCCTAATATATTAGTGTAATTTAAATAAATAATACTCATTCTGTCCATATGATGCACGCAGGACAATAGGCCAGCTGAAGCGCAGGTTCCACTGCCTGCACGCCGAGCTGCGCATGGAGCCAAGCAGATGCTGCGACATCATCGTGGCATGCTGCGTGCTCCACAATCTCGCCAAGAGATACCCCTGCGCGATGCCAGGGACTGCCATCCCGCCTGAGGTTCCTGTGGAGCCCATGGCAGCCGGCCGTGGAGAAAGCAACGAGGCCCGGCGTGCCCTTGTCGACCAGTTCTTCTGTTGAGCGTAAGTATGTGGGTATGTGGTCTTTTCAATTCAAACTGATTTTCTTGAATGCGAGAAACATACAGAGATATTGTCCTCTCTGTGTGTTTACCAGGCTCCGTAAATGGATAACCATAATAACAAGTTGAATGTGGCACGCGATTTCATATAATAAATTTTCTTGAATGCTTCGTGGCATCTTTTGGCTGTGGTTTTACCAGCAGCTGATATAAGGGGCTGAACCAACCCCAGCATATTCCTTGGAGAACATAGATATTTTAATCTTTATTAAGCACTCTTCATGTATGGTTTCAATACGAGGGTAAACAGGCTTTGCGGAATTCACTCGTTGCAAAAGAATGGAAGCATTGGCAGATATTAGAGCAAGCAGATGTTGTGCTGCGACTGCTATCCACCTTTATTTGCAAAAGCGTCGCTTGGAGACGATGCAGCGCCCGTCGTATGCCGCTCAGGCGTCCACCCTCATATTGAAGACGTCTGTACCCTTTCCTGATTCCGAACATTGTAGCAGAAAGAGTGCCTCAAACATTGCAAACCATATTGTCTTGCAAACCCTCTTCATTGCAGCATGTTTTTTGTTGGTTGCAACAATGACATGCACTTAAGATGTAATGTGGCGGTGTCCAAACAAGGTAACTCTTCTGAACAGCATTGCAGGCACGGATCAGAATCATTCTCGCCTCATCCAGTTTTGGTATGTAGTAACAAATGCCCAAAGATTGATTGACATGTCTTGCAGCGTACCTCGTTGTAAAAGGTTAGAGTTGGTCAAGCAGCATAATTGCAACTGCGTTTAACAGTGAAATTGCTGCATGACCCATGGAACCACATACGCAAAAGTCCTGCAATATATTGCTGTTGCGTGCCTCGGTCAACAGTGCGTGCGGCTTTTGTGCGAAAAGCTTCGGCCCACTTCTGCGTGTTGGTCATCGTGCTTGTCTTCGTACTACAGGCTACGCGAACATCAATGCCCTCAGTGCGAGTAATTATAGGGGTGAGCGAAATAATAGCCTTAAAAATAATACCATTTCATTTTATTGCGCCACTGTCCTATAAGTTGGTATTATTACCATATTTAAAAGTATTCTACAGGTGAGAGGAGTCAACCTGTATGCGTCACAGTAGTGGTCCGATTATAACAGCCATTAATGGGTCATGTACATAAGAGGAATAATTCTGTCATTGGTTATTTCACTTAGTAAAAGAGTAAAGGGTGTATAAAATCGCTGTCGAACAACGTTGAAGTATGGTAATGCCTGTTTTTTTCGGGAAGTGAACAAAAAGAGTACAGAGTTCCTGAACGGTGTAAATTCCGCGACACACTCTCCTCGAAGAAATCAGGCACACCGAGTGGTCACACCAGTAACCATGCATTTAAACGCATAATCCCTGTTTGCGCCGTGCAGGCACTTCCTAGGTTATTTGCTTACTTGCTGTTTTGTTTTGAATTGTTAAGCTTCTTTCCTTAGTGCCCAACAATGATGTTTTTGACGTGTCGACAGGCTTGCGCACATGTATGGAAACTCCGCTGGTTAGATTGTCGCTGGTGTCGGATACCAATGTGGTACTCTGGAATACTGGGGAGGCGATAAAAATATTTCATTATTCGTTAAAATTACTTGCACCATCTTACTGGCTGTCGCATAGGGTCGAGTGTTTTTCTCCAGGGACGACTACCCCATAACATACTGAGGTTTTCACAAATCCTTGCATTTCAGAATGTACTTTTATTATTTCACATCCGCCCTTGCTTCGTCAATCTAAAAAAAAAAAAATCTTAGAACTTAATGCCCCCCCCCCCCCCCCTTGGTCTGTTCTGATTACTCCTTTCCCAATTGTTTTTTCAAAAGCTCAATTTGAAGTTCAGCCTGCAAGGTTTGTAGCCTTAGCATTTCAGTGTAATACTGTTTAGCAGCATCTGCTGCAGCGATTTGTGCATTGGAGGCATCTATGGCTCTTTTTGTTGCCTCCCTATCCAACAGGAGGTTCTCCGCCTCCATCTGCTGCTGGTCCTCAGCTTGCTGCTGATACCTCTGCGCAGCTTCCCGGCACCAACGTCTCGTCTGCAAGACACGGGGAGCTGCTGCCCACTCTTCTGCTGCTGCCACCCTTTGGCCGCTTCCTGACGCCCGAGGCTGCGGCGCTGCCGTTTGCCTCAAGCTATCGCTGTGACAAATGGATATGCAGGAAGTGATTTGCTGTAGTTATTAAAAGTGTGCATGCAACATACGTATAACATACGGTGTTTGTAACCCCGACATGTTGCTGGAATTTTGCCACAGTGTACTTAACTGTAGAACAGAAACTCTCTGATGCTTCAAGCATCTCCGAGTGGACCACACACATGGTGCTCATACAGAAATCCATGCTCACCGTAATATCTCGAGAAATTGCCTACCCAAAACTGAGAGCACATTAGGTAAAAATAAGGGGTAGGCTAACATTCGGTGTTCACAAGGTAGCTCAACTTGAGCCATTGAAAAATAGAAAGTCCTGCTACAAATCAGGATGGGCTATCTGTTGGGGATGGGTCGTCTCTCGGGATATTACGGTAATATTCGTTGTACCGGTTGCAACTTTCAGTATTTCATTACCTTTAGCTTTCTTATAAATTTCTTAACCTTGCCATTTATTTCACCTAAGGATGTTGTGAAACCAAACATTCAAGTCTCGTTGTTTACGAAATCCACGATGCTACAAAAGAGTTTTCGCTTGGCTATGTATAGAGTGAATCTTGCTATGGCTTTCTATCCTGCTGTTAAACCGATAACTGATGCCAGCAACGCTACCTCTTTCCTTTTTGCGTTCCGCACTAGTTCGTCACAGCATAAACAATGAGTTTGTTCACTCATTCAACAACTAATCAAATATCATGCGTAACAGCAGGGTTATGCCTTTCTTTTTCAAAGGAAGAATATTGTCTTATTTGTTGCACCTGTTGGTTAAGAGGTTAGAACTAAATATCACCACCTTGCATTCCTTCAACCATCAAAAAGTGTACTACAACTCTTTGCTCGGATATCTGCCTTTGGTACATCGGTAGTTCTGTTGTCTGGGTGTTAGTTATGTTAGTAATGAGCACATTTTGCTACATATCCTTCTGTGTGTGTTTTTTGCAGGTTGTTTGTAGAGCAATTATGCAGCCGTATGAGTAAAATGAAGAGAAATTCACGATTACATGCTTGCCATAAGTGACCCAAAGGCAGTGCAGTATGTCCGCTAGCCTGGGCTCCCTATCCCTAACCTGCATCACGCAGTAGTGATACATGAAAGTGCGCTGATTTCCAATTAGATATTGTGTGTATGGCACTATGACAATTTTTACAATCTCCCTGTTCTCACATCAGTTTCTTAGGGTCCCACCATTAATAACAGAGCTGTTCTGCATGCCCGGCACCCAGTGCTGTTGACTTGTCATACAGACTGATGTAAGAGTAATCCACTCACTCTTCCGTGTCACCCTCAATGACATCGAGCCCACACAGGTTCGGCGAGTCGACGCCGATCACGTCGAGAACTGCCTGAATTAGGGGCGTCAGTTCATGGGGGTTCGGGCCGGCACCTACGAAATGAATGCACATTATTTTCATTCCGTAGTCACCGGGCCCCAGAGGCATTGCAGAGTGGAGGGGGATCAATAACCAACTACCAAGCTAGAATATAAACAGCAGAAATCCAACGGCATTATGAAGCATCAAATAAAAGCATAGTAATTTGTACTGTGTGGCAGAAATGTAACTTCTTAACATTGCAGTGGAGTGATCTCGCAACAGTGACCTTCCAACATGCACATCACTGCGTGCAATTGTGCTGCAGTCAACTTTGTACATAGTGCTTTCTGTGTGCCTTGAGGATGCAGTAGTGTAGGGTATTCAGCGACGTGTTCGATGAACAACAATGCCCTAAGTTTTAGGACTGTTTTCTTAAAAACAACAGAAAAGGCACAGTTTAGGTGGTGTGCTTTCAACATTTTGATCTCCTCTGTCTCAGGTCTACCACACTTTTTGCTGTTTCATGTGTGTCTCGGTTACTAAAACACGGTTAAAGGAAATTTCAATAAAGTATTTTGAGATGTTGCCTCTTTTGATTTTATTACTGTTTTCGAACAGGGACAGGAATGTAGTGGAAAGTTACACGTCAACACTCACTTTTATATCTGTCATCAGTCATGCCATAAAAAAATTAAATGCAAACACGGCATTATAATCCATGGCAGAAAAGGTTCTGTTTATTTTTTGTGTCCCTGCCCCCCCCCCCCCCCCCCCTCATCTTTAAAGCGAACAATTGAAAACTAGTTTGTTTTTCGAAATATGCAAATTCCTCCGACTCACCTGTGCGCCCTTCATGCTTCTTGTAGGCGCTGTAGACCTTTCTGCATTTTTTCAGGAGGTTTTGCCACGCCTCCTTCAGCTGCTTTGCGGTCCTCTGAGCTCCCTGCTCATTCATTGCATGGGCAATGTCGAGCCACGCCTGCTGTCTCGTGTGTGCAGTTACTGCAGGACCGAATTTCCCCATAATTTGTTCCCTTCTTGCCCCAACTTCCCGAATTAACTTCAATCTCTCGTCTAATGTCATAATTTTTTGCCTCTGTTCGCAAGCTTTCGATACTGACGCTTGGTCCATTTTCAACCGACGTTTGCGGTCAGGACACTATCGTCTGCTACCTTGGTTTCTCTACCCGCACACCTGCGTTTTGCTATATATCGCAATAAGACGAAAGATAATCCTAATATCACTTTTAAAAACGAAAAAAAAAGCGAAAGGATGATCTCGTCAACTTTCTTTGTAATAAGTGTTTGTTTATTTCTCGTTTCTGCGACTTCTGCAGATGACATCGGCAAGGTTGATTCGTATACCGCGCTTGTAGTATCTTTTCCATTGGTGGATGCATCGACCGACCGTCGCGGTCAGAACCAGACGCAGCGGCACTGCTTCAGCGTAAAGCTAAGGTTCTCGTCACCGTTGAATTGCTGGCCACCGGGGATATGTAGAAACCTCGATGCTGTCGGCATACTGTCGGCGCACTGCGAACAAAAAAAAACAACAAAAAAAAAACGGTACAATGTCTCAGCTGTTCACTCGGAACGAAGACTTTATCGAAGATAACCCCTTTCTCCGCAAAGTAATCGCTGCTCGCGAGTTGGCGTGCATAGTGTAACAAATTAAACCTGTTCGTATACCAACGCTTGTTCGCAAAACATGTTTTACTCACCATAAAAACACTTGCAAGGCTGATGTACCGTCATATGTCCTGGGTCCCGGACTGGTGAAGAGTGAAGCGTTCGCGGAATGCTGCCGTCGGTTAGCTTAGTTGTCCCTCTGAACTACCGCTTTGCTTGACGTGCTAATAGGTTGATGGCGCGTCATTAATATAACAGCCGGATCGAAATGAATGTTCGGCAGAACCAAGCAGAACTATTAGCCCTCATTAAGCGACGTCGCAGCCATTTTGCTTGTAGGTACTGCTTCTCCCTCGGCGCCCCTGCTCGCCCAGTCACGTGACCTAAAATTCCCCGTTCTAGGGACAATAGTTAACTTTAAACCACGGTTTGCGTTCGAGAAAACGGGCCCTGGTGTGGAATACATTGGACCCATCTAGGGCGCAACGAATAAAATTTCGTTAGCCCAACGCCGGAATCGGGATGCTTGTCTTTGTATATACGGAAGGCCTCTCGTATTGAGCGTGTCATGAAGCGCTTTGGCACGAACGTTTTCTCTCCGTTGAGCATGACAGAGATGACGTCCTTCTGGTTGGGACTTTGGCGCGAACATTGTAGCTCGTCTTTCGTGAAGTACTCTAGGGCAGCAGACAGGTTCTCAGGGCTCACCTTGCACCTCGTGTAAGGATCCGGCTCATACCACACGCCATGCTTTTCCTTGAGTTTTCGGGATTTACTGATGAGGTACATTGAGGCCTGTGGAATCATCTTTTGAACCTCATTCTTCGTCAGTGTTGACGGCAGGAGTGTAAGCAGTTGACAACGTTCCCGGAGAGAGGTGGCGGTTTCAAAGGCCTGCCGAAAGTTGTCCACCCACTCAGTGCATGTGGAGCATGTTGGTTCGGACGACCCCGATGGTGCGTCCCTGTCGTACGCAATACGTAGCCTTGAGCGTATATTCTTGACAGCAACCTGCTCCAGTTCTGTCTGCTTTCTCTTGACATAGGCAGGCCTGTCCCGACTTCTTACGACGCTTGGTTGTCTCAGCGGCGACACATCTGTAGGTAGTATGCTGCGATTTAGATCTTCAATGGCTTCTTCAGCTGGCACAAATATGTCAGGGCACTGCTCTGAGCTTCGCATCGAGATCTCCTTAGTGATGTGCATGAAGCAATGGTAGCACAGGTAGTCCGTCGCACTCACTTTGGTGGAACAGTCAGGCGGAAGAATTTGCTTCAACGAGTTTAGGTCCAACTCGCCAACACTTCGAAAATTCCGCTGCTTTGGTATAGTCTTTTTGTGTTTGCAAAAGTAATCTGCACAAAACACTCGTTCGGAGCTCCAGGACGTCTTCATAATGTATACATAAATAATAGAAATTAAACCCCAACTGATGGCATATAATTGCCAAGTGAAAGAACTACTGGGTGCACAAGTGACAAGTCCGAGGCTGAGGAGCTCACTCACTGCAAACGTACATTTGAAAAGAGAGGTCACAACTGAGGCTGTCGGCAAAGCTTGATCCACGTCAAAGGAAGAAAGAGGGAAAGTCTCCAGACAAAAAATTGTGGTCAGCGGCCTTCGAAAAAGACTTTCCGGAATCGCACTGTCGTCCCTCCACGCGCTGATATGGAAGCACCCGAGCTTCTACCACGTGGTTCATGACACAGCCTGAGCCATGTCGGCGACCGGTTCGCGAGGGGTTGGCGGTGGGGTTACGTTGATGGTCACTCGGATTAGCCCTTGCTGTACTGAGCTACCGCCTGCAGTGCCTTATCGCCGGCTGGTGTCAACAACGAGAACGCACACACCCTGTCTACACCAAAACTACAAGCGTTCACCGCACACGCGTCGCCGCCGCTTTTAAGCTTTTGTGAAATTGCTTTCTTTTGCCGCGGAGAACCGCCTTATCTTAACTACGCGCCTGAAATCCTTCCAGGCGGGCGTACACATTATCAAGCGTTTCGAGAAATGCCCGTGGAGTAGAACTATGGGAAAATTCGGAGCCCGCGATGTCGATATCGTCGCCGTTGTGTTAGTACGCCGTCGCGTACTGCAGTCCCCCGTTGGGGGGGGGGGGGGGGGGGGCGGTCTTACTACGATAACATGGCGACAGCGTTTACACTCTATGTATTTACGCGAGGCTCGAGTATTTGGGGATAATGCTGCCGGTTGGTGTGCCCCTTTGTGCCTGATATTATCGCCCGTGACGCCAGCGAGTGAGATGGCGACAGGCATGACTGCTCAGTAAACAGGCGTCGGCGGCCATGTTTTGCTGGTTGAAGCGAACCCCCTTGTCCTTGACAGCGAGCGGGGAAATGCGAAAAAAAGATTGTATCGGCCGTTTTGCCAGAACTAGCGACGAGTGTCGTCTGCGGTTTCCGGCAACTATTTTGCCATAATCGTGAGCTTAGCGAGGAAATGCTTTTTGCTAGCCACAGAACACTACCACGCAGAAAGGGAATGCTTGAACATGTTTTTGTTCTGGATATATATCGGGGATATATATGAGAGAGAGAGAGAGAGAGAGATGAAGGTAGAGCGGAAGAGGGAATAGCATATAGTGTCGCAGGAGAGTGGCCTAGTGGCCGATGGCTGCATGATCTTTTCTCGGATCACTAGTCCGTAATATGATACCTCTTTGTACACAGTAGTTTCTCCTTAATTTAAGTGTGTGAACGATTTCTTTAGTTATCATTGGCCTCATCTGAATAAAAATATATAAAAGATGTGTGTTGGTTTCATGAAACTGGAACTCAGAGTCAGTTCTTGTATAAAACACTGCTAAGTGTAGGCTTTGAAAAAGGACCCTACTTTGGGGAGTTGTATCTTCTTTCTCAATAAAATGATGCAACATGTTTTTAATGGAAATGAATGCCGAAATAGCGTATAACAGGTTACCTAAATTTAAAAAAAAATCGAGGGTGGTGTTTTTTTTTTATTCGCATCGGAATTTTTCTTAGTTTGATTTTTTTTCCATGTTTGACTAAATATATCCTACCTATTGTATCACACAGATACCTTAGTTATTTTTTAAATATTAGCTATATATTAGTAGAATAATATCTGCAAATTATATCATAATGATTAAATTATTTCATGAGATACAGACCTCCAAAATTTGCCATTTGTTGTTCGAGCAGGCATGTTTGTCAATTTTTAGAAAAATAAATAAATTTTAAATAAATATGATTACTTTATATTACAAGCAAGCTATACCCATAGTTTGCGCCTAAAACGTATTAGAGTTCTCCTATTGTTATCGCTTTAGTTATTCACTCTCAAACGGGCCCCCTCCATCAGTGCGCGTTAATGCAACTGTCCACCACCTCATGCCTTACGATTTTTCCTGTCCCCAAGTATTTTTTCTAGTCAAAACTAAGTTTGGATTCGTTCATACCAGACACTAGACAATAACATATAAAAACATCAGTTGATTTGAAAATGTCGACTAGCCATCCTTTGGTCGATCTTTTCTGAAATCACCCTACAACGCTTACTCGGCGTTGCCTTTTTATCTTTGTTTTTGGCATATTTGCACGTGCCTTGCACGTTTTTCTAGTGGTTCTGCACTCGGCAACAACTTTTCTTGGCAATGCAGTGGAGAGGAGGAGAGCCCGCGCGCAGCTTTAGTCAGCGCTCAAAATTGAAGAGGGAACGCGTGCCTGTACCCTTTACTGCATTGCCAAGAAACGTTGTCGCCGAGTATATAGTGACCGGTCACACAAAATTGTGTTCTTTTTTTTTTTTTTTTGAGGGGGGGGGGGTTATTTTTCTCTTAGCGACATTTTATATTTTGTTTAACTTGCTATTTTGATGGTGCTGATTTGTCTGCTCATATTGTTCCGGTTTCTGTATTGCAATATATTTTTTCTTTATAAGTAACGAGTAATTAAAGTAATTCTTTACCAACATT